GACTCACGCCCTCTCTTTTTCCGCTTTCCCTAGGCAAGTGCAACCGCATTCCTCGCGCTCCTCCTCCTCCTCCTCCTCCTCAAAAGCTCCTCGCGCCGCAAAGCCGGCGGCCTCCAAAGGCGCCTACTCCGGCGTGCTGACTGGCCTCAAGAAGATGTGGGTCGAGGAGGGCTTCAAGGGCTTCATGCGGGGCAACGGCATCAACTGTCTGCGCATCATTCCGTACTCGGCCGTGCAGTTTAGCAGCTACGAGGTGCTGAAGCAGGTGAGTGGGTTTCCAGTGGGCAGAGGATGAAGGAGAGGCAGAGAGGGGAGTGGAGGGCGCGAGAGAGAGAGAGAGAAGGGCGTGTGTGGACAGGGCGGTGCACGGGTCGAGCCCGGGAGGGGGGAAGGGGGGTTGGGGTGAAGGGGCGTCCTTGCCGCGCCGAATCGCCAGACTGATACGCTCCATTTCCTTCCTACTTTCCTCCTCTCTCTTCGTTCCTCTCCCGTTCTTCGCGCGCACTCAAGGCAATGCGGGATCCCGAGAGCAAAGAGCTGGGCGTGGCGGCTCGGCTGACTGCGGGCGCGCTGGCGGGCATTGCGTCGGTCGTGTCTACCTATCCGCTCGATCTCGTGCGTTCGAGAATCTCCATCGCCAGCGCAAGTCTGTACAGTGAAGCCAAGGCCGCTGCCTCCTCCTCCTCCTCCTCCGACGCCAAGGGCAGCACGACGAGCGCACCAGCGACGGCAGGAGAGAAGAAGGAGAAACTGTCAAGGGCGGAATTGAGACGCTTGATAGAGGCCAGACAGAAGAAAGTGCCGGGCATTTGGGCAATGAGCAGGAAAGTGTGGATCGAGGAAGGCGGATTGAGAGCTCTGTGAGTAAGACAACAGCCCCCCACGTTTTTGCTTGAGGGAAGACGCGCGGAGAGAGGGAAGCGGGGGCTGGGGTCGGTCAGCTTTGCGTTCGCTGCACCCCCACGCTCTCTACTCTTGCGCTCAGCATCCCCCTTTCCTCAACTAACCCATTTTCGCTTCCTTTCCTCCTTTTCCCCTCACGCTCGGGGGCGCACTGAAAAAAGCTATCGAGGCTGCATTCCAACATCGGCAGGCGTAGCGCCCTACGTGGCCATCAACTTTTTCGCCTTTGAGACGCTCAAGAGCTGGAACTTTGGCGCCGAACACACGGCCGAACAGGAGGCCAGCACGCTCAACAACTTGCTCTGCGGCGCCCTTGCCGGCAGCTTAAGCCAGACGCTGACTTGTGAGTGTTGGCTTGTGCTTAGCGGCGAGGGGGGGCTGCGCGGGAGAAGAGGGGCGGGGGGCGAAGAATGATGGGGATTGACCCGAACGCGACGTCCCCCCCACCCACCCCCCGCACAGATCCACTCGATGTGCTGAGAAGACGCATGCAAGTGGCCGGCATGAAGAACAGCCAGCTTGGGTACAACGACAAGAGTGAGTCTCCTCCATCGCCCCAATCCCCCTTCCCTCTGCCTCCTCTCGCCCGCCCTCGCTCTTCCTGCCGCAGCCTGGCTCGGAGGCAAAACCGCGCCTACGAGGTCGGATGGGCCTGTACCCCGATCAGACTTCGCTGATGCACAAGCCTTTTTTTTCCCTTCGCTGCGAACTCCCCCGACAACAGACTCAATAGCGGCCATTCGAACAATCTTGAAGAACGATGGCTTCTTTGGCTTGTACCGCGGGTGAGTAAGAGTAGTGGCATTTGCACAGCGAAAAGAGGGGGAGGGGGGCGGCGTGCACAACGAGTAAGGGAAAGGAGGGGAGGGGGGGGGCAGTCCAGAGTGGGAAAAGACGCGGCCAGAGCGGGGGGGCAAAGAGACAGAGAGAGCGTGGCATTTCGCAGCATGGCTTTCCCACGAAACGGCAACCAGCGTGCCAGTAAAGCGAGAGAGGGGACGAGAGGAAAGTGCACCCGGTGGGTTGCGGGCGCGGGTTGCGGGGAGCTGGCATTGGAGGATGTCGAGGAGGTGGGCGGTCTCGAGTATGCTCAGGCGGGCACGTAGCGACCGTCCGCCCCCCTCTCCCCCCCTCTCTCTCTCTCTCTCTGGCCCTCTTTCGCGGGCAATGCCGCAGCGGGTCAAAGGAGAAGAGGGGCAGCTGTGCCAAGAGCAAGCCTGGGGATGGGAAAGGGGGATGGGGCACGCCTTCACGCGCGCACAAGTTCGATGCCGTCTCGTTTCTCGGCTGTTTTGGCCTCATCTCTCACTTTCACCCCCCCACTCGTTCTGACGGCCATTCTCGCGACCCACAACAAAACAACAGCATCACGCCCAACCTGCTCAAAGTCGCTCCGTCCATCGCCACGAGCTTTGCCACGTATCAGGCCGTCAAGGACATGGTGCATCACACGCTGGTCAGTCTGTTGCTTCCCCCCCCCCCCCCTTCCCCCCTCTCCTTCTCCGTCGTTAGAAAAGGCCGCCACGCTCTCCGCCGAGAGAGACGACGGAGGTCCCCGTTGAGAGAGTGAGCGGCCACGCTGACACTGTCCCCGCGCGCGCACGCGACGAAACAACAGCATCCGGAGCCGTCAGAAGGAGGCACTACGACGCATCACTGAGAGAGAGACAGAGAGAGAGAGAGAGAGGACGACAAATCGAAAGCATGGAAAATGCAGAAATGGGGCGCAGCCATGCCCCCCCCCCCCCCCCTGAGTAGGCGGCGCGCCTTGTGTGAAGCTCTCTTCCCCCCCTGTGTAGCCTTGCTCGGGATGAAAGCAGAGCGTCCATGCAGTGGGCAAGATGGATGCGCACGCAGATCGGACGGCTACTCAGAAGGGCGTGAAGATGGTGAATTAGGGGATTAGCTCGCAGCGGAGGTAAAGTCGGCGATGTATCGAGCCTGGCCTCTGCAGCACATCGGCGCGAGCACGTGGGCCTCCCGCTCGCGTAGGAGGCTCGAATACCATTCAAGGTGCCCCCTTCGCCAAGTGGACACGGCTCGTCTCTGACGTGTTGCATCGTCTGCCCCCGATAGCGTGCCGAGAAATGGCCAGAGCAGAGAGCGTCGAGTCGCGAAGAGCGTAGCGGCGGAG